ATGATTACGTTTATTCATTTACTGGCGCTTTTATCCAAAGCGACTTACAGTTGCTATACATGTCAGAGGTCGCACGCCTCTGGAGCAACGAGGGGTCAAGTGTCTTGCTGATCGAGGGACACATTGGTGACTGGGTCACAGTGGTTTCTCACACCATGTGTCTTATCCATTTTGCCATCACCACCCCATGATCAGTCTGGGACTCCACTGCTTGTTGTTTGTTGCTTCACTTCCTGTTTTATTTTGAAGTCCTGTTTTCCTCATGTGTTGTTACTTCCTGTCTTTGTGTAATTACTGCCTTATAAATGTTAATTTAGTCCTAATGATGTCTGATTGCTGAGTCAGTGCTCAGAACGTTGGGCTAAAACAGCTCTCCACATGAAGCCATGTGTCACCCTTATCCTGGACTCGCACAGGCGGCGTGTGCGCCACGTTACGGCTGCGCCACCGTTTTGACCCATCCTCAGCCCGGCCTCAACTCACACTGGAAGCTTTTCAGAAGCATTTCAGCAGTGGAGCGTTTAGCCTGCCTCACATTGTTGACTTGTTGTTTTCACATATGAAGCATTTCAGAATAAAAGCATTTGCCTGCCTGATTTTGCTGAATCGTTTAGATTTAGTTGATTTGGTAAGTTGTCCTTGATTTTTGTGCTTTTACTGTTAAGAAGGCTACATAGTTAAATAGTTTTAATTTTGTTTGTTGTTGATATACGATCAGGAGTCTGCACAAGGTAAGGTTTTATTTTGAACATCGACCGGATTCTCTTTGCCGTTTCTGTGTCTGACTTCCTGCCCGGCTCATCTGCTCTGTGCTGCTTGATGCGTCTTCCGTCAAAAATAGACCGGCTGCCTGTTCTCCGTGCAGCTGAGCGGAGAGACGCTTCTGGGACGCGCTGCGGCGCTTCTAGTGTGAGCACAAGCATTCACTACAATGGCAGCGATTAGTTACGGCAGCACATGCAGAGGGGGGTGCGCTGGGTGATTGAGCACCTGCCCTTTTGCCCTTTGATGCCCAAAGTACTTTTTTGTCAATGAAAAAATGTATTAATAATTAATTTTTTTAATTTGTAAAGGTCCTTTTGTGAAGGCCTGCCCTATCAAACTATTAGTAAAATGAATGAATATGAATTTTGCAGAAAATAAAATGACCTACATGATGACCTCATCTGTGACGGGTAACACAGCTGGCTAGCTAGCTAGCTATGTTACTCTTGACAGCCCCCCGAAACCAGTTATCCTCATAGGCAGCATTAACCTCCTTCGTGTTGCTGTGCATTACCACCACCTCTCCACTAGAACTGCGGTCCTGAAACTGCAGCCTCCGGTACTGCAGCTACATAATATTGTCCCGTTCAGACACGTTAGTGATTCAACAGCGCTGCCTACAGGACACCTGCGATTCTGCCAGTAAGAGGGGTTTGCCTCAATATTGTGCTTGTTGTGGGTTGTTGGATGTATTTTACAAGAAAGATGCAAAGAGAGCAGCGCAGTAGTTGTGTATGTTGCTGTGTGTCGTAGAAGTAACGTTAGCTGCTGGCTAACACCATGCCAACAGCTAACGTTACTTCTACACATGGGCGTAAATTTCATCTAACCAATTCTAATTTTGGCCGATTCCAATTTTATTTCTTTCTAAGACCTATAACTGACAGCATACACAAACAATTTATTGGAAAAATCTTTTTTTATTAGCATCCCCATCAGCAGCAGTATAAATGTTAGCTATTTTCACGGGGGTCCATTCAATCGTAGGGTCATAATGAAACATTGTTTATAAAACAACATTAGCGTTTTCCCCCGTGACCCTGTACACAGGATAAGCGGTTGATGATGAATGGATGAGCATTATCACTGGAAGGAGCTGAAAATAAATTGCAGACCATTTTAATTCTACTTTATTCTCCAGTTTTTGTTTAATCACAATCTACAGTAATCTGCTCACCTTGCTTTTCCCCTCAGACACAGAAGCACACCTACACCTGTCATCTCTCTCGGTCTGCACTAACTTTATTTATCAGCAGTTTTATTTAAAAGAACTCGCGTTTGGCTTTTCACAGCAGCAGATGAGCCACGTCTGGAGGAGGCCTGTTGTTAATTACTGATAGAGACCACCGTGGTCTGAATGACCGGCAGAAGATTGGATATTTGACACTGCTCGGCCGCGGTCGCTGGTCGGAGCCGAGTAAGCGAAAATAAACGGCCTATTTCAGTCCCCAGCTGATCAATCTGCACATCTGTAGAAGATGAGAACCAATCCAGTAAGCTGTTAAACAAGCTACCAAATAAGCTAAGTAATGTTTTAAGTGTAATGGGCTCAAGGAAAAATAATCGGTTATCATAACTTTTTGTCATAATTAATTTATTAATGACTCAGCATCATCTGTATTATAGACAAAACAATCAGTTCATCCAGTGTTTAAAGTGCATAAAACAGCTCTGCAGCCTGCTTAACATTACTGGAGCTCCACAACTACTGACTGATTTGAACTGGTTTTCTCCCACAGGCCTCCTGTGAGAGGTCACACGCCTCTGGAGTCACTAGGGTTTAAGTGACCTGTTCAAGGACTTGAACCCGGGTCTCTCACAGCAGAGGCATGTGTCTTATCCACTGCACCATCACCAACCCGATGGTTGGTGTTTTTTATGGGGGGGCACCCCTCAGATAAGGGGGACTTTGTTCTTGCTGTTTGAGGGAGAAAAGTTTCACTGGCATTGACAATGCAATATATAAAATCATTATCAACATATTTCCTATATACAGTGGGTACGGAAAGTATTCAGACCCCTTTAAATTTTTCACTCTTTGTTTCATTGCAGCCATTTTCCAAAAATCAAAAAAGTTCATTTTATTTCTCAGTAATGTACACTCAGCACCCCATCTTGACAGAAAAAAACAGAAATGTAGAAATTTTTGCAAATTTATTAAAAAAGAAAAACTGAAATATCACATGGTCATAAGTATTCAGACCCTTTGCCGTGACACTCATATTTAACTCAGGTGCTGTCTATTTCTTCTGATCATCCTTGAGATGGTTCTACACCTTCATTTGAGTCCAGCTGTGTTTGATTATACTGATTGGACTTGATTAGGAAAGCCACACACCTGTCTATATAAGACCTTACAGCTCACAGTGCATGTCATTGCATTGGGCGGCTGTGGCTCAGGAGGTAGAGCGGGTTGGCCGTTAATCGGAAGGTCGGTGGTTGAATCCCTGGCTCCCCCTGGTTGCGTGTCGAAGTGTCCTTGGGCAAGATACTAAACCCCGATTTGCCCCTGGCGGCTATTCTGCCAGTGTATGAATGAGTGTGACTGTTAGTTTCCGTTTGAGCACTTAGGCTCAGTGTATGAATGTGTGTGACTGGTGAATGCAGATGTAGTGTAAAAGCGCTTTGAGTGGTCAAAAAGACCAGAAAGGCGCTATACAAGTACGGAGCATTTACATTTATGTCAGAGCAAATGAGAATCATGAGGTCAAAGGAACTGCCTGAAGAGCTCAGAGACAGAATTGTGGCAAGGCACAGATCTGGCCAAGGTTAAAAAAAAATTTCTGCTGCACTTAAGGTTCCTAAGAGCACAGTGGCCTCCATAATCCTCAAATGGAAGACGTTTGGGATGACCAGAACCCTTCCTAGAACCGGCCGGCCGGCCAAACTGAGCTATCGGGGGAGAAGAGCCTTGGTGAGAGAGGTAAAGAAGAACCCAAAGGTCACTGTGGCTGAGCTCCAGAGATGCAGTCGGGAGATGGGAGATAGTTGTAGTAAGTCAACCATCACTGCAGCAATCCACCAGTCGGGGCTTTATGGCAGAGTGGCCCGACGGAAGCCTCTCCTCAGTGCAAGACACATGAAAGCCCGCATGGAGTTTGCTAAAAAACACCTGAAGGACTCCAAGATGGTGATAAATAAGATCCTCTGGTCTGATGAGACCAAGATAGAACTTTTTGGCCTTAATTCTAAGCGGTATGTGTGGAGAAAACCAGGCACTGCTCATCACCTGTCCAATACAGTCTCAACAGTGAAGCATGGTGGTGGCAGCATCATGCTGTGGGGGTGTTTTTCAGCTGCAGGGACAGGACGACTGGTTGCAATCGAGGGAAAGATGAATGCGGCCAAGTACAGGGATATCCTGGACGAAAACCTGGACCTCAGACTGGGCCGAAGGTTTACCTTCCAACAAGTCAATGACCCTAAGCGCACCGCTAAAATAACGAAGGAGTGGCTTCACAACAACTCCGTGGCTGTTCTTGAATGGCCCAGCCAGAGCCCTGACTTAAACCCAATTGAGCATCTCTGGAGAGACCTGAAAATGGCTGTCCACCAACGTTTACCATCCAACCTGACAGAACTGGAGAGGATCTGTAAGGAGGAATGGCAGAGGATACCCAAATCCAGATGTGAAAAACTTGTTGCATCTTTCCCAAAACGACTCATGGCTGTATTAGATCAAAAGGGTGCTTCTACTAAATACTGAGCAAAGGGTCTGAATACTTATGACCATGTGATATTTCAGTTTTTCTTTTTTAATAAATTTGCAAAAATTTCTACATTTCTGTTTTTTTCTGTCAAGATGGGGTGCTGAGTGTACATTACTGAGAAATAAAATGAACTTTTTTGATTTTTGGAAAATGGCTGCAATGAAACAAAGAGTGAAAAATTTAAAGGGGTCTGAATACTTTCCGTACCCACTGTATACACACACACACACACACACACACACACACACACACACACACACACACACACCTGTCTGTAGATTTGTCTCACACTTACCCCCTGCCTTGGCCAACCTAGTCCTTTCTCCCAGTACTGTTTCCTTCCCAGATTATTTTTATTTTTTTCCTCTCCCTGCAGCTCTCATAGTCAGCCTTGGCAGCAGTTGCAGCACTACAGCAGGTCAGTCAGCAACATTGTCAGCAACCAACATCTTGTCATGGACACATATTTGTTTAATCAGCTAATATATTTCCTATGTTTGTTATAATATCTGTAGTCACAGATCACCACCAGTAACATCTGCAGCAACAAGAAGAACAGCAGCAGCAACCTCCTCAACAGCAACTGTAAGTCATGTCAGCCCACAGTGTTTTAAAGCAAGACCTGGGTATTCTGTATTGATATTTTGAGAACTGCCCTTTTTAAATCCTTGTTCCATGTGCCCCTTTTATAATTTGAGCACCTGCCCTTCCAAAGGTCTCTGCGCAGCCCTGCGTGGTGCAGCCATAACGCGGCGTGGCACACGCCGCCTGTGTGAGTCTGGGGTTACTCGTGCTCATCGGTTCAGATTCAGAAATACTTCATCGATCCCCGAGAGGAAATTCTTTTGTTATAATTGCTCACTTTGAATATCAAGGTATTAAGGAATAGAAAAAATAATTGATAGTAGGTAAGTAGAAAATTATGAACAGAACTTTACTGATAAATAGTGGCTTGCCATATAGGTCAGCTGTGGCTGCCTGATACTGTCTGCTCAGATTAGCCTGTGATCCACCAACTGTATCAACCATCTTCCTACGATTCAGCTCTTTCCTCCAAATTAGACGCCAGTGGAACTCATTTAGCAAACAGGCCCAGGAGCTGGAAGCAGGGGCGGAGCCTAGAAACTAAAACCAGCAGGGAGAGGTGTAGACCATGTAAAGGGTAATACGTGGTCTATGGTCACAGCTGTGTGGCTGTGTGAGCAGGTTGGACAGTGATGACAGTAAATGCATGTAAAATGTGAGTGAACCGTGTTACTGTAGCTGTACAATATAAATGTCTATGAAGATTCTCAGTCATCCAGGTCATAGTTATCCAACGAAGGTTAAAATCAAGGGCAACAGGACTTGGTTGAAGCTACTGGAAGACGTTTCGTCCCTCATCCAAAGGACTTCTTCAGTTCTGACTGACTGGCAGGGAAACTCAGCTATTTAACCTCAGTGGGGTCGTTGGCCCGGGTCATCGATACGGTCGATCGACCGACATCGATCGATCGGTGTACAATATAAAGCTGGACAACATGTTTCAGATTTACTGGCTGTATTTCCTACCTGTCACCATTTAGACCAGAATCTAATCCTGAACACAGACAACACACCAGCTGTGCTGGAACAACAAGAACACCTGAACTGAAGTCCAGAAGATGGAAGAGGAGGACAGAGCAGAGTCTGCAGCATCCAGCTGTCTGTCTATGAAGAGTGACGGGTCCAAAGGTCGTCCTCTAGACTTCAGTACTGAACCTGGACCCTCAGACACAGGATCCAGCTGTCTGTCTATGAAGAGTGACGGGTCCAAAGGTCGTCCTCTAGACTTCAGTACTGAACCTGGACCCTCAGACACAGGATCCAGCTGTCTGTCTATGAAGAGTGACGGGTCCAAAGGTCGTCCTCTAGACTTCAGTACTGAACCTGGACCCTCAGACACAAGGTAAGAGAACTGCTACTAACTCATTCAGTGTTTGCTCCTAATGTTTTGCTGTTTGCCAAATGTAGAGTAACATTAGGCTTCATGAGCAACGAAATCACATCTACACTTACCATTCTTTCTCTCTCTCTGTCTCTTGGCATGAGTGTGTTTCTATATTTTCTATTTTTGTTTGTTTGTATGTTAGTAGTGCTGTTTGTTTAGTTTGTAGCGGGTGAGTTCCTGAGCGGTAATGACCCCTGTCACCAGGGTCATGCCAACTCACGGAGTTAAACTTTGTCCAGCTGAGAAATTGTCGGCTTCGAAAGTGTGAAGTCCACTTCCAGAATGGACAATGGAGTCGTCATCTTTCTGCTGTTACGACCCCCTGTTGGTCTAGGGGTGTGGGGGCCATAAACATATAGGCACAACTGGTAGATCTTAACAAGGTAACTTTTATTGGTAACAGAAGTGATGTAGACAGGTAACAAAAAAAACAAAAGGAGGGTGGACGAGGGTGCTGCGAAAATAACAAACCAAGTTAAAAGAAAAAGGTCCTCAAAAGGAGGCCTGTACCTATCTATCGTTTTAAGCAGAGTTGATTCTTGCTACAAAAGAACACAAAGAGCACAGCACCCACTCCACCTGGTGAAAACTAACACAATAGTAAACAAAACAATAATTTCTCCACTGCACCCAATGTGGAGCTAACATTCAAAGGTATGCAAATGTTTCCCTAAATACAAAGTACAACTAACAGACAGGCTATGCAGTCAATACCAGCGGCACACAAGTCAACAGGCGGTGACAAGCTGCCTGGAGCAACAGGTGGACTCTCCTTATGAGCCGGAGGTAATTAACGTGGTGACGAGCCATTGGTTAAATGGAACCAGAGGGAACCAATGGGCAGGACAGATGTCAGCACCCCAGAAACCACGAAGTAGGCGGGTCTTCATTCCCCAGGGACACAGCCTACTTGGTAGAGGTGAGACAGGGAAAAGGGGAAACAAAGGTGACAGCGACAGCTGTGACACTGCATAGTGTTGATAAAGTCAGCGTGGTTGTCGAGCAAGGTGTGGTGATGACACCTTTGTTCAGGTGGTGCCGCTAGTTAATCCGGCCAAAAAGATCATTTTGTCCAAAGTTCCTCCGTTTATTAGTAACAAAATCTTACAAAGAGAACTGGCGAGGTACGGGCAGCTAATGTCCCCAATTAAATCGATCCCTCTGGGCTGTAAATCACTGCATCTTAAACACGTTGTTTCCTTTAGAAGGCAGGACTTTATGGTTTTGAAAAATAACACTGAGGAGCTAAACTTAATATTGAAGTTTAGAGTGGATGACTTTGATTACATTGTTTATGCCTCTTCAGAGAGAATGAAGTGCTTTGGCTGTGGAGTGGAGGGCCATACTGTCTGCTCCTGTCCACAAAAACAATATGCTGAGGCTAATAACAGTGAGACTGCATGAACATACACAGAATTCACAGGAAGGAAATACACAAGAGGACAGTTCAGAGTTCACAGGAGGGGAATACACAGGGTACACAACAGGCTGGGCATCAGGGGACAGCTGGTTCTGTTGATGCTATTCCAGGTCCTGATGGTTCAGGTGCTGAGGTTTCAGTTTCTGGTGGTTTGGGAATGTCTCGGGTTACATATGTAACCCTTGTTCCCCGAGAAGGGGAACGAGACACTGCGTCAGTAACGACACTATGGGAACGCCTCTGGGCGTGGCAGGGCTGAACTATGAATGAAACTACTCCAATCCTATTGGTGTTACTAGACCAGTAGTGTGTGACAGCATAACCGGAGGGGGTATATAAGCACGCCGGCACATAGGACACATTTAGGACACACAGGCCCTTTCTATGAAGCAAGGCACTCCAGGCGGGGTGAGGTGTGGCGGACCGACGCAGTGTCTCGTTCCCCTTCTCGGGGAACAAGGGTTACATGCATAACCCGAGACGTTCCCCTTCAAGGGAACTCGAACTGTGTCGGTGACGACACTATGGGAACGAGATACCCACTTAGGCCGCACCGAAACCCCGCCTGCCCCCAGCGTGCAGAACCTGACGGCACGACTAGGAGGAGAGCGCACGGGTGCCGGGTGCAGAAGGAAGGTCCAGACTGTAAAACCGGATAAAAGTGTGAGGGGTGGCCCAGCCAGCCGCGACGTTGGTGCTGCCGGTTCTGGTGCAGCTTGTTCAAGTTCTGCTATTAAAGATGTCGTAGTAGAGGTCAGTGAGCCGTCACACACTGACAGCATTAACACACAGACTAAAGCAGGAGAGGCAGAATGTTCTCTGGAGGAGGAAAGTGAGATGCTGGTGGATAAAGATTTGTCTAAAGATAATAAAAAGAGTGTCAGTCTGCTTGTAAAGTGAAGAAAGCTTCTCCTCAGAGTGTCAGCAGTCAGGTGAAAGTGAAGGTGATGAGGAGAGTGATGTGGAGTCTCTGGCCTCCTCACAGACGTTGACTCACAAGAAGAGCGGCTATTCTTTAACAAGCATTAAGAGTTTTCTGCAGGAGAAAGTGTTTCCTGATTTGCAGCTCTTCCTTGATTCAGTGAAGGCTTTTCTGAGAACTCCTGGAGTCCTGGGAGAGAAAGCTTTCACTGTCCAGGAAACTTACCGTATTAAAAAACTAGTTCAAAAGGTCAAAAAGCAGTTAGAAGATGATGAATAAGGTTCAGAATCTTTCTTTTTTTCTCTTGTTTTGTTCTTTGGTTTCTGTATTACAACTTTTTTTGTATGTTATGGGGGAGATGCGTATAGGCAGCTTGAACTTAAATGGAGCAAGGGATGATGGGAAAAGGGCTTCTCTTTTCAAGCTGTTATCTCTAAAAACGTTAGATGTTATTTTTGTACAAGAGACACACAGTTCTGCTGATAATGAGGCTGACTGGAGGAGAGAATGGGCTGGTGAATCCTTCTTAACTCATAAAACTAGTAACAGTTGTGGGCTTGGAAAAACTTTATTACTCAGTCCGTGGAGTCTGAAGAGGTCATTGAAGGCCTTCTGTTGAAATAAAGAGCAGTGTATGAGAAAGTAAAAACTGTGTTTATTACTATCTGTGCTCCAGTTGTTAGAGTCGAGAGAGTCGTGTTTCTAGATGTATTGAATGAAGTTATTGGGAAATGTAGCAGTGAGGAATATTTATTTATTGGTAGAGATTTTAACTGTACTGAGGACAGCAGGTTAGACAGGAACCATGCAGAGCCTCATGTCGCTTCCTGCACTCGCCTGATTCAGCTTATGGAAGCTCAGCAGCTGTGTGATGTGTGGAGAGGTTTTCATGGCGAGCAGCGACACTTGGACACATGCTAAGGATAACTTACTGTCTGTGGCCAGGCTCGATCGTTTTAAACATCAGTTTAATGTATTTAATGTAAAAGTTTTTGGATCAGCCCTGTTGGTTTTTCTGATCACTCGCTAACAGTTTCTGTCTTTTATAAAGTGTGTAAAAGCCAGTAGGGCATTTTAACACAGCTTTATTGGAAGATATTTTAAAGATACTTTTGTCTTTTTAGGAAAAACCACCAAAACACAAATCTGATGTTATTTCTTTACAACAATGGTGGGATTTTGGAAAAGTTCTGATAAGAAAATTCTGTCAGCAGTACATTCAGAATGTCACAAAAGCCTTGATGAGTTCAGTTACAGCTCTGGAGTCTCAGGTGGAGGAGCTCAGAGACTTAGCTGAAGCCACAGGAGACCAACGCCACACTCAGAGACTTGAAGCTAAGAAGTGTTAATCGCTCTCTGAGTAGTGTGCACTCTGAGCAAAATGCCTCCTGTATGTGTTAAAGTAATGTATTTTAAATACGCTCACGCAGTCTCGTTTTGCACCGCTGAGGGAAGCAGAGGTGCAGTAAGAGGAAGCCAGAAGGCAATTAATGTGTATTGTGTTCTACAGGAGCCAATAAATTGTGAAAAAGAAGTAATCTCGTGAGTGATCCTTCACACACCCGTTACATCAGCTCAGGGGGCCCTCGTTAGGTCCTGTTTCCAAAATGTAGCCCACATGGATGTTCATCACACTTTTTCTTTGGTCTGGAGCATAAGAATGGACAGAAAAGGTTCATTCACAGTTTAAAGGGTGACACTGGGCAGGTGCTGACTGATCATACAGCAATTTGTAAACATGCCGTCAGTTTTTACAGCCACCTGGTTAAATGTGAGCACAGAGAGGAGCAGGCAGTGTCCCAGAGCTTCTACACTGTTCTTCCTCAGGTCGAGCAGCAGAGTAACGTAGAGCTGGAAGCAGCTCTTTCTTCTGATGATCTCTATGCAGCTCTGCAGAGCATGCAAAGTGGGAAAGCTCCCGGAATAGACTTCTGTAAGTCTTTCTGGTCAGTGGTGGGGGAGGATCTGCTGGCAGTACTGAGTGACAGTCTTGCTGGAGGGCGTCTGCCACTGAGCTGCAGAAAGGCGGTCCTTACTTTCCTGCCTAAGAAGGGTGACCTGCAGTTTATCAAAAACTGGAGACCTGTGTCACTGCTCTGCTCAGATTATAAGCTCCTCTCTAAGGCGTTGGCAACCAGGCTGAGCAAAGTGAAGGACAAAGTGATTCACTGTGATCAGACTTACTGTGCACCTGCAGGTTGATTTCTGATAACTGTTTTGATTCAAGACTTTTTAGAGATCTGTAAGTTGTTTGGCCTCAAAGCTGGAATAATTTCTGTTGATCAAGAAAAAGCCTTTGATCGTGTTGAGCACGACTATTTATGGCTCACTTTGGTCCTGTTTCATTGATAAAGTTAATGTTTTGTACTGTGACATTCAGAGTGTGCTTAAGCGCTCCTTTTCAAGTCCAAAGGGGAATTAGACGGTTGTGCCCTCTCTGGCATGTTATATTCTTTAGCTTTTGAGCCTTTGTTGTATAAACTTAGATGTGACCTTCAGGGATTGACCATTCCAGGTTGTAATGCACCCTTAAAGCTGTCAGCCTCTGCAGATGACCTGGTCATCCTAGTGGATACTCAGCAGGACATGGACATGTTGGTGAGGGATGTAGTTCAGTTTGGCTCTTTATCTTCTGCCAAAGTTAACTGGGATAAAAGTGAAGCTCTGTGTGTTCTCTCTGGAGAAACAGCAAAGCCTGCCTGGGGGGTTAAATTGGGAAGGTTTCGTCCACTTTATGGCATCGCCTGTCTTGCGTTGACCCCCCACCTGACCTGCTGTCAAATATCCAGGCTCTTCTTCTTGACTTTTTCTGGGACAAACTACACTGGGGGCCTCAGAGTGTGCTGTGTTTGCCAAAGGACGATGGAGGAGAAGGCCTGATCCACCTCAGCAGCATGGGGGCTACTTTCCGTTTCCAGGTTTCTGTGCGGTCCTACTGATTTAGTGTGGAGGCCGTTGGTTTGTACTATCCTGACTCAGTTAGGTGGACTTGGACTGAACAAATCTTTGTTTCTGATGGAGCTCACTATACTGGCTGCTTCAGGAACCAGTCAGTCATGGATCACGGTTCAGTGCAGTCTGTCAGGTGGGGCCAACTCTTCTCAGGCGGTTCTGTCCCTCTAATGTTGTGACTCTGGGACATGTAGTTCAGCTTGCAGGAGCAGGCTTGGATTATGCAGCTCCTCTTGCCTCCTGTCTAGTGGTGAATTCCACTCGTGTTATTGCTCTGTTGCTCAGTAAATGGAGAGAAGCTCTCACGGGCGGTGAGCGGACTTTGTTGAACCGGTATTGTGATGGTTTTGTTGAACCTGATGAGAATGATGTTTTCCCTTCAGTGAACATTTCCCCAGATTTTAAGAACCGCACAGGACCGGTTTTAAAAAGTGAGATCTCCCCTGAGTTTTCTTTCCAAGATGTCAACAGAAAACTGATGTATAAAACTTTTGTTAAGATTTTGCAGAGGGACAAATGAAATGGCAGAGCTGACACTCCATGGAGGGCTCACTAGTGATAGTGTTGGACCTGAGCGGAGAGCGCTGTATAGACCACCATTGATTAAATGAGCTGCTGACCTGCAGTGGAGGATTTTACATGGTATTGTGTCTGTGAATGCTTTTGTCTCTGTCATTAACTCTGATGTTAGCCATGATGGTCCATGTTGCACTAATCGTGAGACTGTTTTTCATTGTTTCATGGAGGGTTCTCGATTGCTGCCACTGTTTGAAATGTTGGAATATATTTTTGAACTGTTTGGGGAGGTTTTTTCTAAACGTATGTTCATTTTGTGGTACAGGTACTCTCAAAAGAATAAAATTAAATGCTTTTATATTTTATAAAATATTTAGTATTTATATTTATCTTGGGGTTAGGGTTAGTTATTTTCGGCTGTTTTATATGAGCAGGAAAAAGAAAACTGTGGATGATGATGCTGTGCTCATGTTTGTAAAGATGTTGAAAGCCGTTTATAAACAAATTTGAATTATTATCGAATGATGAAGGATCTGGAAAGTTTTTCCAGTATGTGGTGTTACAAGAATGTTCTTTGTTGGGGTGTAGATGATGAACTGCTTTTTGGAAGTGTACTGAGATAATTTGGATTCTGTGAATCTTTAATGAATGTTGTTGTAGTTTTGTAACCTTTTCTAATAAATGTATTGTTAAATTTCAATTTCTCCCTCTCTGTGAGTACAGACACTGGTTCTGCAGACGGTGCATCGCCTCATACTGGGACCAGTCTGCTTCATCAGGACACTCCTCCTGTCCCCAGTGTGGAGACAGATCCAGAACCAGAGCTGGACTGCAGACAGCCAGTCAGAGCAGCTCTGTACAAAGTAAGACTGTCCATCTGTCTGCTGATGTCCTCATGTCTGAAAACAGGATTCTTGGCTTTCTTTGCCTCGCAGCATTTAAAATGTTGCTGTCTCAGCCAATCAGAAACATTTTCAATAGGATTCATTTTTCTTACTGGTTGTTTTTATGTTGGTACTAATGAATAATTCCTACTAATGATTCTTTCTTCTGTGACAGTGGATGGCAGTCTGCAGGAGGTTTTAGATGAACATAAGATCAGTCTGAGGAGGAGATGTGAACGTGTGACTGAAGGAAGTGATGAAACAGGAAGTGGAACCCTCCTCAACAGGATCTACACTGAGCTCTACATCACAGAGGGACAGAGTGAAGAGGTTAATACCCAGCATGAGGTGAGGCAGCTTGAGACAGCTTCCAAGAAGAAGACCCTCCATGACACTCCAATCAGGTGCCAGGACATCTTTAAAGCCTTACCTGGCCAACAGAGAGCCATCAGAGTGGTTCTGACCAACGGCGTCGCTGGCGTTGGAAAAACCTTCTCGGTGCAGAAGTTCACTCTGGACTGGGCAGAGGGCTCGGAAAACCAAGATGTCGGTCTGCTCGTTCTGCTCTCGTTCAGGGAGCTGAACTTGATCAAAGATGAGCGGCACAGTCTCCTCACGCTGCTCCATGTTTTCCATCCAACATTACAGAAGGTCCCAGCAGAGAAGCTCGCCGTCTGGAAACTGTTGTTCATCTTTGACGGCCTGGATGAAAGCAGACTTTCATTGGATTTCCACAACAGTGAGGTTGTGTCTGATGTCACACAGAAGTCATCAGTCAACCTGCTGCTGACAAACCTCATCGAGGGGAATCTGCTTCCCTCGGCTCTCGTCTGGATAACTTCCAGACCTGCGGCGGCCAATCGGATCCCTCCTTCGTGTGTCGGCAGGGTAACAGAAGTACGAGGCTTCACTGACGCCCAGAAGGAGGAGTACTTCAGGAGGAGAGTCAGTGATGAAGAGCTGTCCAGCAGAATCATCTCACACATCAAGACCTCCAGGAGCCTCCACATCATGTGTCTAATCCCAGTCTTCTGCTGGATCACTGCTACAGTTCTGGAGCACATGTTGACTACAGAGCAGAGAGGAGAGCTGCCCAAGTCCCTGACTGACCTGTACTCACACTTCCTGCTGGTTCAGATAAAGAAGAAGAAGCAGAAGTACGATGAGGGACATGAGACGAGTCCAAAGAAGCTGACGGAGGCTGACAGGAAGGTTCTTAGGAAGCTGGGGTGGCTGGCGTTTGAACAGCTGGAGAAAGGAAACATCATGTTCTACCAAGAAGACCTGGAGCAGTGTGGTCTTGATGTCACAGAGGCCTCGGTGTACTCAGGAGTTTGTACAGAGATCTTCAAAAGAGAGAGTGTGATCTTCCAGAAAACAGTCTACTGCTTTGTTCATCTGAGCGTTCAGGAGTTTCTGGCTGCAGTCTACATGTTCCACTGTTACACCAGCAGAAACACAGAGAGACTGGAGGACTTCCTGAGGAAAGACTGGACATACAAAAACAATTACTTTGGAATCAATGACAGACGTAGCCCGTCCCTGGCTGTCTTCGTGAATGGAACCATACAGAAAAAAATTTACCCGTCCCTGGATGTCTTCCTAAAGAGTTCCATGGAGAAATCTCTCAAAAGTGAAAATGGCCACCTGGACCTGTTTGTTCGCTTCCTTCATGGCCTCTCTCTGGAGTCCAACCAGAGACTCTTAAGAGGCCTGCTGGGTCGGACAGACAACAGTCCAGAAATCATCCAGAGAGCCATCAACAACCTGAAGGAGATGAACAGTGATGAGATCTCTCCTGACAGAAGCATCAACATCTTCCACTGTCTGACGGAGATGAACGACCACTCAGTACATCAGGAGATCCAAGAGTTCCTGAAGTCAGAGAACAGATCAGAGAAGGAACTCTCTGTGTTCCACTGCTCAGCTCTGGCCTACATGCTGCAGATGTCAGAGGAGGTTCTGGATGAGTTGGACCTGAAGAAGTACAACACATCAGACCAGGGACGACGGAGACTGATTCCAGCTGTGAGGAACTGCAGAAAGTTTCGGTAAGTCCAGATGTGATTATCAGCACTGTAAAGCTGAAGCATCAGTATTACAGTAAAGATCCACACTTTACACACTCGCTCAATATAAAACCTCCACAGTATAAAAGTTTCCTAAACTAGTATTAAAGCTGCTTATTGAAATAATTCTACATGTGTTAAACTCCAAATGTCTACAAACATCATTTCTGTGTTTCTATCCATCAAGTTAGTGACACAAGTATCTTCTATCATCTTCTGTCTTTCTTTGGGTGATGGAGGCTTGATACAAATCCAGCAGGAAAACTTGAGGATTAAGAGTTTGTGCTGAAAATGTTTTGACAGTCATCATTTTATCCCAGCAGTCTTTTTATTTTTCCACTGATCCAGTGTCTGCACTCTGTTTCTATACTGTGTCTGTTTCTTGTTCTTCTTCTATACAGACACACAGACATGTCGTATCTGTTGGATTTATTTTATGTTTGGAGTTATTGATCTTCTATTTTTTCTCTGCAGTTTGGGAGCTATTTCATATGAAGGACTGTTCTGTCCATTTTCACACTTTATACAATATCTCTGATTATTGTTTGATTTGAGAGGATGTGAGGGGAGGCCATCCTCCGTCTTGAAGAGCAAACAGAACACCCCCCTCTCCATCCTCATTAAATAAAAGATTCCACTTTACATTGTTTAGTTCCAACTATGAATGTCTCTTCATGTGTTTTGCTGCATTAGAAATGAGTTTGATTTAGAAACAGTAAGGAAGCTCTCTCTCTGTTAGGATTTGAAAGGACTGGTCTGTAAACTGGTAAATTCCAAAGATACTTTAGTGATGAGAGAGAGAGTTTTTAAAGCAGAAATAATATCAGTTTGCAAACACAAACTGTCAGACAATGTGTTTCCTTTCTGCACCATTTCACAGCAGCAACACTAAAGGCAAGATATGCAGAGAAAACAGCAGCACATGTGATGCCCACTAGAGTGTGAGCACATTTGTGTGAATGGAATTATTAGATTTGATGGTGTTTGATAATTTGAGTTTATATCTGTATGTTTCCTCTTTTGAAAAGGACTTTCTTTGCTGTTTCTATGAGTAATGTGGTTTGGAAATCAAAATGTTAAATCTGCTGCAGCAGTTTGCGGACAGTAGGTGGCGCTGTGAGACTGTGGTTTACCCAGGGACTGTAATCAAGAGCGCATGCTCCACTGGTTTTCCTCCTAAATGAGGAGATTTCAGCAGCGACAGGCCACGTCTCCCTGTCTCATCATTCTTTCCTGTATTTCAGAACAAATCCAACAGTTTCTGGGTGCTGCAGGGAGGTACCTGTAACACACACATTTCCACTGTGGCTTTCATTGAATGTGCAGCCACAGTCTTTGTGTATTTAGCAGCTGGTTTCCTCAGACAGCAGCTCATTACACAATCAGCTGCTGGGACGGCCTCCAGGTTCATTCTGCCAGTGAAGGAGAGCTCAGCAGCTTCAGTTCAGAGGAGGGATTTTATCATCACCAAGCTCAGAAGAAATGATGCTGTTAAACAGCTGAACTCCACTTGAGAAAAACTATTACCAATAAAATGGTGATAATACAGTCTTTAGTACTAATTATACTATCAATGCAACAGGAGTGATTAAATGAATTTAGTGGCAGATGAAAAGCAGATGGAGTGACATAAGATGCATCAAGGGTGCAAAAATAAACACAAGCACTTGACTGAGGTAAATCCATACGAGTGCAGTTCCAACCTGCAGTGATTTTACAGCTCAGTGAACATCACGTTAAAGTTTAACAAACACAAATCACAGCACCCTGTTAATCACAATAGGACATGTTCACATTACAGTCATTTGGCAGACACTTTTGTCCAAAGCAGTAATAATGTGGTACATTATGTTGCCCAAGGACACTTGGACATGTGGACAGGAGCTCAAGTTTCATACCACAAACCTTGTGATCAATGGTTGAGCAGTTAAACTGCAGCCGCTCATGTTAATTTCCTTTCTGATGCAAAATGAACAGTCTATTTTTAGAATAAAGTGTCAGATTGTATTATATTTTAAGTTTTATATTCTTTGTCATCACAGACTTGGTGACTGTGGACTCTCAGAGACTCACTGTGAAGTTGTGGCCTCAGCTCTGAAGTCCAACCCCTCCCATCTGAGAGAGCTGGACCTGAGTGGAAACTACAACCTGCAGGATTCAGGAGTGAAGCTGCTGTCTGCTGGACTGGAGAGTCCAAACTGTAGACTGGAGATTCTGAGGTCAGTTCATGTATTCTGCTCTTGTTCTGTGTATATCTACCAAATTTAAATCCAGCACAAATCTTTTTAAAAGTTTGTCAGTCTGAAGAGTTTGGCTCCAAATTTAGTCTGAACTCAAAGTGGATTCATGTTGATCCAGTTCTAAAGACGACTGAGGATGAAGCTCACAGTCAGTCAGCTGTGAGTTGATGGAGATGACAGTGGTGATGAGGAGAGTCTAAATCTGTGCTTTGAAATGAGCATCAGAAGTACTGGGACAGGTGTTAAAGAGCTCTGCAAGTTTTTGGATTTTCTTCAAGTCTTATTCATTTCATAAAGTATTTTTATTTCATATCGGCCATTTTGGAATTCTATAGGAAACATCTGTCTTAGTATTTTTCATCAAGTGACACATGATTGTTATGAATTAGAAGAAACAGAAGAGAATGAAAGTAACCAAAGTACCAACATGTCTGATTTGATCATTATTCCAGACTGGCCTGAGATCAGCAGCATGTTATTGATCTGTGTTGACATGAATAGGTGTTTGAATGTTGTGCTGACATTTGGATGATGTCCCCCTCTCCATCCTCATTGAATAAAAGATGCCACTTTACATTCTTTAGTTCCAACAATGAATGTCTCTTCATGTGTTTTGCTGCATTAGAAATGAGTTTGATTTAGAAACAGTAAGGAAGCTCTCTCTCTGGTAGGATTTGAATGGACTGGTCTGTAAACTGGTAAATTCCAAAGATAATTTAGTGATGTTCACTGATGGAGAGTTTTTAAAACTTAATGTGAGAAATAATATCAGTTTGCAAACACAAACTGTCAGACAATGTGTTTCCTTTCTGCACCATTTCACAGCAGCAACACTAAAGGCAAGATATGCAGAGAAAACAGCAGCACATGTGATGCCCACTAGAGTGTGAGCACATCTGTGTGAATGGAATTATTAGATTTGATGGTGTTTGATAATTTGAGTTTATATCTGTATGTTTCCTCTTTTGAAAAGGACTTTCTTTGCTGTTTCTATGAGTAATATGGTTTGGAAACCAAAATGTTAAATCTGCTGCAGCAGTTTGTGGACAGTAGGTGGCGCTGTGAGACTGTGGTTTACCCAGGGACTGTAATCAAGAGCGCATGCTCCACTGGTTTTCCTCCTAAATGAGGAGATTTCAGCAGCGACAGGCCACGTCTCCCTGTCTCATCATTCTTTCCTGTATTTCAGGACAAATCCAACAGTTTCTGGGTGCTGCAGTGCGGTATCTGTAACACACACATTTCCACTGTGGCTTTCATTGAATGTGCAGCCACAGTCTTTGTGTATTTAGCAGCTGGTTTCCTCAGACAGCAGCTCATTACACAATCAGCTGCTGGGACGGCCTCCAGGTTCATTCTGCCAGTGAAGGAGAGCTCAGCAGCTTCAGTTCAGAGGAGGGATTTTATCATCACCGAGCTCAGAAGAAATGATGCTGTTAAACAGCTGAACTCCACTTGAGAAAAACTATTACCAATAAAATGGTGATAATACAGTCTTTAGTACTAATTATACTATCAATGCAACAGGAGTCATTAAATGAATTTAGTGGCAGATGAAAAGCAGATGGAGTGACATAAGATGCACAAAACACACACAAGCACATGACTGAGGTAAATCCATACGAGTGCAGTTCCAACCTGCAGTGATTTTACAGCTCAGTGAACATCACGTTAAAGTTTAACAAACACAAATCACAGCACCTGTTAATCACAATAGGACATGTTCACATTACATTAATTTGGCAGACACTTTTGTCCAAAGCAGTAATAATGTGGTACATTATGTTGCCCAAGGACACTTGTACATGTGGACAGGAGCTCAAGTTTCATACCACAAACCTTGTGATCAATGGTTGAGCAGTTAAGCTGCAGCCTCTCATGTTAGTGTGCTTTGTGATGTAAAATGCACAGTCTATTTTTAGAATAAAGTGTCAGATTGTATTATATTTTAAGTTTTATATTCTTTGTCATCACAGACTTTGTGACTGTGGACTCTCAGAGACTCACTGTGAAGTTGTAGCCTCAGCTCTGAAGTCCAACCCCTCCCATCTGAGAGAGCTGGACCTGAGTGGAAACTACAACCTGGAGGATTCAGGAGTGAAGCTGCTGTCTGCTGGACTGGAGAGTCCAAACTGTAGACTGGAGACTCTGAGGTCAGTTCATGTATTCTGCTCTTGTTCTGTGTATATCTACCAAATTTAAATCCAGCACAAATCTTTTTAAAAGTTTGTCAGTCTGAAGAGTTTGGCTCCAAATTTAGTCTGAACTCAAAGTGGATTCATTGATTCGTTGATCCAGTTCTAAAGACGACTGAGGATGAAGCTCACAGTCAGTCAGCTGTGTGTTGATGGAGATGACAGTGGTGATGAGGAGAGTCTAAATCTGTGCTTTGAAATGAGCATCAGAAGTGCTCGGTCAGGTGTTAAAGAGCTCTGCAAGGTTTTGGATTTTCTTCAAGTCTTATTCATTTCATAAAGTATTTTTATTTCATATCAGCCATTCTATAGAAAACATCTGTCTTAGTATTTTTCATCAAGTGACACATGATTGTTATGATTTGATGTTTGATCATTATTCCAGACTGGCCTGAGATCAGCAGCATGTTATTGATCTGTGTTGACATGAATAGGTGTATGAATGTTGCGCTGACATTTGGATGATGTCTGTAGAAGGCTGACATTATGATGATTCACAATAACACAATGACAAAGACCCTCTACTCATTTTAGGGAAAAGCTCATTGATTAGGACATAGTAATGTTGAGCTCCACATTTAATACCTGAACACATCTGATTGGATTAGAAATGGATTTTAATCTTCATCATTTATTCTTTTTTCAGATTGAGTTTCTGCAGTTTGTCAGAGATCAGCTGTGCTTCTCTGGCCTCAGCTCTGAAGTCCAACCCCTCCCATCTGAGAGAGCTGGACCTGAGCTACAACAAGCTGCAGGATTCAGGAGTGAAGCTGCTGTGTGGTTTTCTGGAGAGTCCACACTGTAGACTGGAGACTCTGAGGTCAGACACCATTTTTGCCTTCTGTGCTGAGATTAATATGATGTGAAAGTTGTGGTGACACTAAAGTGCAGATGTAAGGCTGATATTATACTGATCCACACTGAGGATCTTAATGCTAAAGTCTCTTTGCTTCAGTGGTTTAGTCCATTGACTGTGGCAGAGCAATGTTGAGCTCCGCATTTAAAAGCTTAATATAACAAGATATAACAAATCTCCACTGGATAATTTACTCTGAACCTCTTAAACTCCTGATTTTCAGCTTCTATACCACATCATGTTTTTAAAGAAATGATAATAAAACTACATGAATTCATGAATTGAAGAAATAAATAATCTCTATTTCAACTATCAGACAATAACAAATAGATTCAGTATTTGCTTTTTCAAACATTGTTATGAAGCTATATGATGCTTACACTGACTGAATAGTTTGAAGTGAAGAAGCTTTGATTTGATAACTCCACTATTCCTAAGAGAAATATTGTAGATGCTTTTTGTTCACATTTCCCCAAAGTTCATCCTGACATATTTGGCATCTTTGGAAACTTTGGGATCTTGAATGGAATCTTAAATCAGTTTCTGTGGGTTTCTGGAATTTGCAAAAACAAACATCAAGTCCCACATGATGTTTGTTTTTGCAAATTCCAGCCGTGCTTGGATGTTTTTCTTTGTAAGAAAAGGCTTCCGTCTTGCCACCCTACCCCATAGCCCATTCATATGAAGAATAGGGGAGATAGTTGTCACATGTACCACATAGCCAGTACTTGCCACACATTTCTGCATTTCCTCTAATGTTGCTGTTGGCCTAACCTCCCTGACCACTTTTCTTTTTGTCTTTTCATCAATTTTGGAAGGACGTCCACTTCTTGGTAATGTCAGTTGTCCCATATTTTCTCCACTTGATGATGACTGTCTTCACTGTGTTCCATGGTATATCTAATGCTTTGGAAATTCTTTTGTACCCGTCTCCTGACTTGTCCTTCAACAATGAGATCTCTCTGATGCTTTGAAAGCTCTCTGCGGACCGTGGCTTTTGCTCGGAGATGCAACTAAGAAAATATCAGGAAAATCCTCCTAGAACAGCTGAACTTTATTTGTGATTAATCAGAGTCACTTTAAATAATGGCAGGTGTGTAATGTCTTCTAGTTAACCTGAGTTTGAATGTGATTGGTTAATTCTGAACACAGCCACATCCCCAGTTATAAGAGGGTGTGCAAACTTATGCAACCGGGTTATTGTAAGGTTTTTATTGTTCATTTTTCCCCCTCGAAGATTTTAGTTTGTTTTTCTATTGAATTGTTCACATTAAAGGTGGAAAAAGTTCTGACATGATTTATCTTTGTCTCATTATTTTACATCATAAGAACCTGGCTTTTTAACAGGGGTGTGTAGACTTTTTCTACCGACTGTAGGTGCCTTTTGTTCACATTTCCCCAAAGTTCATCCTGACATGTTTGGCCTCTTTGGAAACTTTGGGATCTTGAGTGGAATCTTAAATCAGTTTCTGTGGGTTTTTCTTTGTGTTTGGCTGCACAGCATGAGTTTGTATAGATGGAGCCACTGGTGGAGCTGCAGAGTTTAAGAGGTGAAGTCACTACGTCTTTATTGAAGTAGCAGCATGTTGTCATTAATATTAATGAGAGCTCTATTTACCTTTTTGTATTTTACTAATCTTTGCACCTGCATCCTGTTGGGTTCAGGTGTTTGGAGTTTCCATTTTCTAAACTTCTACATTCTAAACCTTCTTCAGCTCTGAACAGATTATTAAAACACTGAATGATTTCAAGCAGGAACATTGTCTTCTAAAGTTACATCATTTATTCTTCATTCAGATTGAGGGGCTGCAGTTTATCAAAGATCAGCTGTGCTTCTCTGGCCTCAGCTCTGAAGTCCAACCCCTCCCATCTGAGAGAGCTGGACCTGAGTAACAACAAGCTGCAGGATTCAGGAGTGAAGCTGCTGTGTGGTTTTCTGGAGAGTCCACACTGCAGACTGGAGACTCTGAGGTCAGTTCACTGACTCTCTGTTACTATTGTAGATCTGATATGTTAACAATTTAACCTAATTTCTTTTCATAACTTCCATCCATAAAGTTGTAAATGTCCTTTTGTTCATATTTTCATGTTTCTTGTACTAAATTTAGTCTACTGGTTTAATAGACTTGTTTCTTAAAGAAACTGTAGAAAATGTCCGCTTTTAGTCGTTAAAGTAAAAGAATGTTTCTAAGTTTTGGTAAATGGTCACATCTGTTACAGAAGATCCTCTGAACTAATATTTGTTTTAAACTGCTCAAGTTTACTGCTTCACGTAGAAATATTTATTTGCTTTCTGTTGGTTTCAAAGTGTTTTCATAAAGAATTTCTGATCACTGATATTGATCCTTCAGAACACACACGTTTTAGATCTCTCCCTGCTCCCACACAGCTGATTAAACAGCTTTAGCAGTTCATAACGAGATGATCATTTGAATCAGCTGTGTGGGAGCAGGGAGAGATCTAAAACATGCAGAACTAGTGTTCCTCCAGGAGAGGGTTGGGAAACACTGGATTAGGACATATTAATGTTGAGCTCCACATTTAAAACCTGAACACATCTGATCGGATTAGAAATGGATTTTTATCCCCATTTATTCTTTTTTCAGATTGGGAGACTGCAGTTTGTCAGAGATCAGCTGTGTTTCTCTGGCCTCAGCTCTGAAGTCCAACCCCTCCCATCTGAGAGAGCTGGAGCTGAGTGACAACGAGCTGCAGGATTCAGGAGTGAAGCTGCTGTCTGCTGGACTGAGTCCACACTGCAGACTGGAGACTCTGAGGTCAGTTCACTGACTCTCTGTTTCTGTTAGATCAATTCATCAACCTAATTTCTGTTCATACATAACTTCCATCCATAAGGTTATAAATGTCCTTTTGTTCATGTTTTCATGTTTCTTGTACTAAATTTAGCCTGCAGTCACAAAGACTTGTGTTTCTTAAAGAAACTGTAGAAAATGTCCGCTGTTAGTCGTTAAAGTAAATGAATGTTTCTAATTTTTGGTAAATGGTCACATCTGTATACAGAAGATCCTCTGAACTAATATTTGTTTTAAACTGCTCAAGTTTACTGCTTGACGTAGAAATATTTCTTCGCTTTCTGGTGGTTTCAATGTGTTTTCACAAAGAATTTCTGGTCACGGATATTGATCCTCCAGCACACACACACACACACACAGACCTGAGATCAGCAGCATGTTATTGATCTGTGTTGACATGAATAGGTGTATGAATGTTGTGCTGACATTTGGATGATGTCTGTAGAAGGCTGACATTATGATGATCCACAATAACACAATGACAAAGTCCCTCTACTCATTTGAGGTAGAAGCTTATTGATTAGGACATAGTAATTTTGAGCTCCACATTTAAAACCTGAACACATCTGATTGGATTAGAAATGGATTTTTATCTCCATCATTTATTCTTTATTCAGATTGAGGGGCTGCAGGTTGTCAGAGATCAGCTGTGCTTCTCTGGTCTCAGCTCTGAAGTCCAACCCCTCCCATCTGAGAGAGCTGGACCTGAGTAACAACAAGCTGCAGGATTCAGGAGTGAAGCTGCTGTGTGGTTTTCTGGAGAGTCCACACTGCAGACTGGAGACTCTGAGGTCAGACACCATTTTTGCCTTCTGTACTTTTTATATTTTACAGTTTGAACCTGCATCCTGTTGGGTTCAGGTGTTTGGAGTTTCCATTTTATAAACTTCTACATTCTAAACCTTCTTCAGCTCTGAACAGATTATTAAACACTGAATGATTTCAAGCAGGAACATTGTCTTCTAAAGTTACATAATTTATTATTTTTTCAGATTGAGGTTCTGCAGTTTGTCAGAGATCAGCTGTGCTTCTCTGGCCTCAGCTCTGAAATCCAACCCCTCCCATCTGAGAAAGCTGGACCTGAGAGGAAACGAGCTGCAGGATTCAGGAGTGAAGCTGCTGTCTGATCTGAAGGAGAGTCCACACTGCAGACTGGAGACTCTGAGGTCAGTAGAGGGTTGGAGTCAGTCCATGCTGGTTTCAGCAGTATTGTACTAAACACAGTTAGTATCAAAGCAGAGATCCAGTATTTCCTCTAAACCTCCAACCTTCTCAGCGGCTGCTTTCCTCAGTGAAGCTGTGAGAGGAGAATGGTGACAGGCTTCAGGATTGGACAGAAAGACAGAGAGAGAGAGAGAACAGGCAGTGATCATGTGTTTGAGTTGATGTGAAGACGACTGTTGTTGTTGTGTTCATGTCTCCAGGAAATAAAGCTGGATTCCAGCTGACAGCATCACAAGATGTATAGAGACAGTGGTCCTCATTCATCAAACTGTCAAATCTGATCTCAAAGTGTTTGTTCACTCATTTCAACACTTGATCAACTATTGATCAGTTCATCTTTGTCACAGCTCTGAGATCAGTCTGACTGAAGCCTGCAAATCACTGGCTCTTATTTCAGAGAACCATCATTAATTTAGTAACCATGTGGTCTTTTTACAGACCAGAACCTCTGCTGAAGTCCAGTAAGCACAGCTGATGTTTAGCTGTTCAGTCTTTGTATGAACATGTAGGACCTTTAACATCAAATTTATATCTGTCCATGTGTCTTTAGTTTGGTCCAAATGTTTTTAGAACAGACTCCATATTTACAGATTTGTCCTGTAATATTTCAAAAGTAGCTGAAATCTTCAAATGTGACTGAGCCGCTGTTTTTAACAGCTTTGAGCCCTAACAGCAGTAAATCCATCATTACAGTGAGCAGTGAATATCTCTCTGTCTCTGCAGTCATGATGCGTTCAGGGACTCTCAGCACTTTATTTCCACTGTGTACTTGAGTGAAACCTGCAGAGTAAACAGACCTGATGCCCAAAGTAATGGGAAAAGAATGCATCCAGATGGAGAAGGAGAGAGGAGCTCAGTGCATCATCTCCTAGCAGTCTAGGCCTATAGCAGCATCACTAAGGTCTGGTTCAGGACTCACTTGAGCCAGCCCCAACTATAAGCTTTATCAAAGTGGAAAGTCTTAAGCCTACTCTTAAATGTGAGAGCTGAAATGAAGCTGGATACGCTACACAACCACTCCACTTCTGCTCTGAACAGGACTGAAGTCCCTGCTGGTCTTTATACTGGATGTGCTGCATCACTGACTGACAGCTGATGAAGGGAGTCTCTGTAAACTCTGATTTATGACTTCTGCTGTCTGTCTTCTTCTCTCATCAGCTGGTGGTGATCTCTGTCAGAGTGTGAGGGATGAGAAAGGTGGAGGTGTTGAGAGAGGATCAGCTGTGTCCTGATGATCCAGAGAGGTTGAAGCAGCAGCATCAGCTTGTGTGTGGAGAGGCTCTGACTGGGCCATGTTACTGGGAGGTAGAGTGGAGAGGAGAGCTTCATCCAGCAGTGACTGACAGAGGAATCCCAACAGTGCTGCAGTCTGAACTGCTCTGAGATCAGCTCCACTGTCAGACACAAAGTCAAGTCCACCATCCTCCCTGTGTGTTCCTCTGGATGTGACAGAGTATCATCAGTGGATCTGGACTGCTCTGCTGCTGCTCTGTCCTTCTACACAGTCTCTGCAGACACACTGAGACTCCTCCACTCCTTCTGCTGCACACTCAGACACCTCCTCCACTTGGACCTCCACCTGGACCTGATTCTGTCTGTTTAATTCATTCAGATGTTCTGAACCCAAAGAGCCTCTGCAGATTAGTTCTGTTTCTGACAACAGAACTGCAGATTAACACTTATTTAAATCGACTTTTCTGCTTTGCTTTCTGTTGCAGCTCCACCTTGTGGATTGATGGAGATTTACAGTTAATTTCCACGTTATATTTCACATTTTTGTAGTTCATGTGAAAAAGCAGCAACCAGCCTGCATGCATAGAGTTCCCTCTCTGAAGTTCTGCTTATTACCACTAACACCAGACTTTTCTCTCAGTTTAACAGATAAGTTTGTAACACAGAAACAAGAAGATAAAACTGTAGAAAGTTTGGATTCAATGGAAGCTTCACTGAGTTCTACAAACTGAGACACCATTCTGACTCCAAACTTCAGTCCATTGTTATTAGTGCAAGATTGTATGTATGTATATGTTATCTTTTTAAAATACTCCTGTTTTCTAGGATATCCCAACAGATTATGTTGTTGCAGAAAACTCACTATGAACGCCCTCTTTTGTTTTCACCTCCTCGTTTGATCCGTTAATATAAAAATATTGATTAGTGGCTTTTAGTCTCTGAAATATCTCTGGATTTTAGTCAAAAGCCAGTGCTTTCTTAAGCCTTGGTGTCACACTGAACACCAGAACATTTTAGTAACTTGTTATATCAGATTTTTTTATTTTGACATGAAACTAATCAGAAAAAAATATAAAAGTACTAACTCTAAACCTTTTAGTGTGATTATTAGTGATTAAGACGATGTACATGTATATATTTGTTCTGTTTTCTCAGATTGTGACAGTTTGTATTGTTGCAGAAAAAACCCATAGATGTTGGTGGAAATGGCCCAGTTGTTGTACTTACTACTTACTGGGTTGAAGTATTCTGATGGAGAAAGAAGAGTTCTTTGAAACAGAAACAATCCAGAGTGTAAATGGTTGAATCAGTTTTAGGATCTTAAAGAAAAAAAGCTTAGAATAGACTTCCTGTCTGAGCTTTCCACATTTTATTTTGACTCCCAATAAGAAACCCTCTGCTGATACCTGCTCGAGTTTAATGCAGGCTTGTTTTCATCACAGCTTCACACTGAAACATCTTTTAGAACCAAACTGAAGCTTTTACTGCCTAAAAGGATCATCTGTCCTGCCAAAGGACAAACACTGTCTTGGGTTGCTGATATGAAAAACAGAATTTAAAAATACAGCAGGTAAACTTTCCTCTTTATTAAACAATGGCATTCATTCAAGACAGGCTGGCCTTTAATAAGAATTCAACTCACTCACTGTGTGTGTCAGTGGTGGAGAAATATTCAGATCCTTTCGTCACAAGCCAGCTCTAAGCCCGTGACAAAAAGCAGGTGAGACAACAGGTTTGCATGTGTGATGCCCACTAGAGTGTAATCACATTGGTGTTTGATTTTATGGTATAAGATCAGCTGAAGTTATATCTATATTTTATGTGCTGTAAAACAAGTAACATGATTGTGGAAATGTGAAAGATTGGCCTGCTGTAGCAGCCTCCCGGCAGTAGGTGGCAGTGTGAGACTGGTTTACCCTCAGGGACCATGACCAAGAGCGCATGCTCCGCTGTTTTCCCTCAATAACTGCGGAGATTTCAGCGAGGAAACACCACGTGTCTCTCTGTCTCACCCTTTTCCCTGTATTTCAGGTTAGTAACGTTAGAACATCACATAAATCACTGTAGGTTTTTAGTGAATGCTGAGAGATAAGTTGAGTTAAAGTATAAGAGTAAAATGAGCAGGTTTTGGAGATACGGTTTCACACGAGTCCCGCCGAGAGTAACGATAGCGGCGCGGTTTGCTCTGTTAATAGCATGTTAGCGTAAGATGCTCGTGTGGGCCACACGTCTCCACTGTTTTAGGTTAGGATATTATACTGGCTGGCTCAATAAACGATATGTAGCATGTTGGAATATTTTGGAAATGGTGTTATGTATTTACATGTTTTAGTGATGAATACTGTTATATTGTCAGCGAGTAGAGAGTCATATTTTGTGGCGTCAGGTTATCCAGTGTATGTTGCACTGTAGTAATAGCCAAAAGTATTTGGACAGACGAATATGGAAATGGTTGTGAAATATGTATAATTTTGTGTTTGGAGTTTTATTGCATGTTATGTTAAGAACATGAACAATGTGTCCGAGAAGACAAGGCATGTACGGTACTGAGAAATACTGAGAAATTGAAATAAAGATGATTCTGATAGTATAAAGGAAATGTAAATCAATAAATAACTGCGGAGATTTCAGCGAGGAAACACCACGTCTCTCTCTGTCTCACCCTTTTTCCTGTATTTCACCTGCTTATGGGTGCCGCTGGCCGGTACCCGTAACACATGCCAATGGTATGATTTATTATAAAAGTAAAAGAAGGGTCAAATGATCACCAATAATATGTGGTGTGGCAAAGTATGACTATCAGTTGTGTCAGCAGTGAATGGATGAGTAAAATGTATGTGTGTGTGTTGTCAGGATAAACTAAAAAGAAAGACACAAAACAAACCCAGTCAGACGCCGGCCTAGGAGGAGAGACAGCAAAAGACTGATCAGTCCTGGCTAAATAAGCTCTGAAGAGAGCTGCACAGATGATTGCCCAGCCCAGGCAGCCTCCTGCAGGAGAAGGAAGCAGGAAGAGGGAGGGGTCGTAACACAATCCAACATGAAAACAATAATCCAGGAACAGGAGACAGACAAAAAGCAAAACACAAAATCCACAATAAATCCTCCACAGGTACAGGAGACCTGCAGAGACGCTCGACCAAGAAGGAAAAAGACAAAGCAGACCGAGAACGAAGACGAGCCGACAAATGACAACGAACACAGCGAGAATATCTAAAGACAAGAGCGGTGATTAAGGAGACACAGGTGAAACCAAGTGAGGAGGAGCAAACAATCACACAAGCAGGAAAACACAAGTGAAGCCAACACAGACACAAGAGGAAGGGGAGAACAAAATAAAGCTGGAAATAACAATCATTCAACACAAAAGCCAAAACCAGGACAAGAAGTCTGGAAAAGAACATTTAGTTCATTTAGTTTAAAGCACTTTAGTTGGAACTGAAACAAAACAGATTCTTTCCATCATTTAATTTATTGTTCATGTTAAAGGAAGAAAAAGTCCTGACTTGTGAAGACAGCAGTTCTCTCAGTCCAGCTTTGGCAGCCCGCTGAGAGACAGAGAGATGAGATCCAAAAGATCTTTCAGTGCAACTTCTCACATCCTAAATCAGTGTGTGGACTCCTCATTTCCTCTTCTTATAATGTGGAGCATGAACATAAAGATCCAAAGAAAAAGTCCCCCCAGCCCTGAACTAAGCCATCAGCCAGCCAGAACATCCCAGCCTGGAACATTCAAACAGCTGGAAGCAGAACACAAAGAACACAGAGAGGAGGACAGAAAGAACACAAGGTGTGAGAATAAGAGACGTCAGGAGGAAAAAGAAAAGAAATATCAGAGGGAGATAATGGAAGAGGGATTCAGACTTTCAGAAAGAGGAAGGGAACAGGAGGGGAGACTGAGAGGGAGAAAGAATTAGAGGATTGGGAGAAGAGATTTGATACAAGAGCACCTGGGAGATGAGACACACAAACTCAGGTGATTTCCTGTAAGAGGGGAGGAGCAACACTGAGCAGGTGAGAACAGGCCCTCCCTGTTAAACCTGAAGCTGAAAGAGTTCAGGCTCCAGAACAGACTAGGTGGGGGGTGGCGCCAGACAGTAGAGAACCTTGTAGTCGAAATCTGTTGTCGGTAGACCGGACTGTGAATGGACAGAAGATGGCAGAGGGAAGTGACGGATCAGGAAGTGAATTAGGAATGGAAACAGGCGGCGGCAGAAATGGAAAATGGAACATGGAATAGCAAACGAAAACGGGAGAAAAAGAGTAAGCAAAATGAGAGTTCTCACTCAGAGGAAACTGATAATGAGCAACATCTAGCTTCAACAGAAGGTAGAAACGAAGAGTACAAAGTAATGATTAAAATGATTCAGGAGGGAGCCTCATTCGGCGAGTGGAACCTGGTTCATTTAACAAAAGCTATAAACAAGTTGGTTGGCAATGTGAAAAGTGCACGAGTAATGAGAAATGGAGCACTGATGGTTTTTTGCAGGGACACTGATCAGCAAAGGAAGGCTGTTCTGCTTAACAAAATTGAAGGTAAGCGAGTGCAAAGATCAACAATAATACAAAGAAGGTTCGAGGAGTCATTTCGGGAATACCCACAAATATGTCAGTAGAACAAGTCAAGGAAAATGTAGAAGGTGTCATGAGTTGTAGTTTTTGCCATTTGTTTCTGGTGTCCTTCTGTTTACCTGTTCTTCTTGTTTCCTTGTCCTTAGTGTTTCTGTCTTGTCTTTGTCGGGTCATTGTATGTTGTCACCCTGTGTAGCAGTGTGTTTCGTGTCATCAGCCTCACTCGTCGTCTCTCCCTGTTTCCCTGCCGTTATTGGATGTTGTATTTTGTATTTCTGTTGGACAGCCCTTGTTTTTGGACTCAGTCTATCAGCCACTCTGTTTGTAAGTGTGCTCGCTTTTTGTTATATTAAAACCACTGAACTATACCTGCTCCGCTCTGTGTCCTGCGTTTGGGTCCTCCAACCTGCTCCACCCTGCCTTCACCACAAACCCGTGACAGAAGGAGCACGGGTAGCCGAGGCAAAACGCTTGAAAACAACACGTAATGGTGAAAGATGTGACAGCTTGTCTGTTATGATTGTTTTTGATGAGGAAAGTCTACCATCTAA